AGAAGGGGGAGGTCCTGTCATGGAAGGGGGAGGTCCTGCCATGGAAGGGGGAGGTCCTGCCATGGAAGGAGGAGGTCTTGCCAGGAAAGGAGGAGGTCCTGTCATGCCATGACAGTGGGAGATCCTACCATAGAAGGGGGAGGTCCTGCCAGGGAAGGGGGAGGTCCTGCCAGGGAACGTGGTAGGTTCTGCCATGAAAGAGGAGGAAGCTATCATGGAAGGGAAGGTTGTCGCTCCCTCCCCCCATCACGTTTAGGGTTGCACTTCACTGACATCCTGTGTTAACTATGCTGCGGCTAACAGCTGCAGCTCACCCGTCAAACTCACGGCCAACTCGAAACCGATGTCCGAATTACCGCGGCGTATATTTTTCAGACTCCGAATATTTTTCCATTCGCTTCGAACATTCCTCCGCCGCGCGGCGCTCGCCTCGCCCTTCTCCGTGCGTTTCCACGGCAACAGCCGACTCGGTCGGCTCGCAGCCTCGCTTTTTTTGTTCGTCGAGGACAGTTTTGAGTCCATCCTCTGATCTCATTGGTCATCGCCGCGCGGGCGATGGCGCGGCGCCCGCAAAAGGCGATTGTGTGCTTCAGCACTTGTGATTTTACGCGCGGATTTGCGTCGTGGTGATATTTTGCCTCGGAAAGCTCTCGCGCTGAGAGGTTGTGTGCTTTTTCGTGTCTTCATCTTCATGCCAGGAGTATTTTACCAAGAGTATGCTTAATAGAGCGTATTAAGTATGCTTAATACGCTGTTGGTTATAGATATAGATATGTCTTTACTATAATCGGAATAGTTTGTTGCTGGTTGCCGTGCGAACGCTGCAATGTAGGGTGCTGCAATGTAGGTGGCTGCAATGTAGAGTGCTGCAATGTAGAGTGCTGCAATGTAGGCTTCAGTGAGGAATGGCGCAGTAACCATTCAAGAAGGAGCCAAGAAGGTATGCAGAGAGAGAGGTGGGAACCGAGAGAGAGAGAGAGAGAGAGGGAGAAAGAGAGAGTGAGTGAGAAAGAGAGAGAGAGAGAGAGAGAGAGAGAGAGAGAGAGAGAGAGAGAGAGAGAGAGAAAGATAGAGTGAGTGAGAGAGAGAGAGAAGAGAGATTGAGATTGAAACAATGAGCGACAAACTACGGAAGGAAACTGAGAGTGAATTCCACGTTCTTAGTAGAAGTTCTGCCACCTAAAAAAATTGTAAACAACGAAAGCAATCCCGCTTAGTTCGCACGCGGATGCAATTTATTCATTTTCTCGTTCGTATTTCTTGAGCTAGTTAAGTTTCACCACGTTTAGTACAGGGGACGTGCTCGATTTATGTTGCCACGTATGTATGTAATGTTGGGAAGTTTCATCTTTCAGAAGTTATAATCGTATCTGTCATAACGTGTGATCTGTGATTACGTCACCGTAAATAGTAAAAGTAAAAAAAAAATTGTCAACTTTTTCACAAAATGTAAGTGATTCTGTTCACCTTTTATGGTTAAATTGCTGCATTATACTTCCTATTTTGCTATTCCGTTCGATGTGAACAAACATTCGTGACTCATACATAGCCCATGGCAAGCATTTAATGTCGTGATCAATATATCAAATCGCCCAGATTTTTTAGATTGTTAACTAGTTTAAAAACAATCTTATCAGGTAAGAATTTGCGGATACAGTTAGTGGCGTTAGTACTTACTTTTCATGTAAAAAAAATTGCAACGAAAATGTTACAAATATCCACCATATAGAAAATTCGTGACGTAGTCAATTTAAGAGGAGGGTGAACTCGTGATACACCCGTCTCACCGCGGCGTCGACCGAGACGACATCGTTAGCGGGGAGACGACATCGTTAGCCAAATTCCTCGTGTCGCGCAATATATAACTGTAGTCTTAGTATGTTAATTAGTATGTTAATTAACAAAAGTATTTTTCTCGTTGGTATGGGGGACGGGAGGGTTGGGGAAAGCACGAGCGATTCCTGTTTCTTGCGCAGGATGCGTTGCGGGTGCGATGGAACGCAGGTGTACGGGAGTAGTTGACGCATGATACATGAGGAGTAGATCTAGAAGTCATGCTAATAACGTTTATGTCAGTTAGATCCAAATTAAGTTAAAAAAATAACTTACACTGGCAAAATTTGTCGACCAGATTGGATGGACCAGATGGACGAAAAATTTCTTCAGTGTAAGTTATTTTTAACTTAATTTGGATCTACCCGTTATAAACTTTATTAGCATGTGAACTATAGAGATCCGATGAAATTATTCAATCATAGATCTAGAGGTCATACAGCGTATATACAGTGTACGGGTTGATGTCCTGCTGCCTCTGTGATGTGTCTAACTGTTGCGCACATGTCAGGGCCGTAGCCACAGGTAAATTTTGTAGGAGGCAAATGTTGTGAGTTAAAGAACAAGGAGCGAAGCGAGCCAATGGGTATGGCCATGAGTTGGGTATGGGGCCCGCTTAATTTTTTTTTTGAGAAATTTTGTAGGAGGCAAATGTTGTTAGTTAAAGAACAAGGAGCGAAGCGAGCCAATAGGGCGTGGGGTATGGGGCCCGCTTAATTTTTTTTTGGAGAAATTTTGTAGGAGGCATTTGCCTCCTATTGCCTAATGGTAGCTACGGTCCTGCTTGTGGAGAGAATGCATCGAACGTTGCGGCGTAACGCTGCATTGCTTAAGCCTAGCGCAGAACTGCGATTTTTGGTTGTTCGTCACTGCAACCGCAAGCGATCGGTCGATGTGTCACCGCGTGCGCACATGCGATTTCGAAGCAATTTGGGAGCGGGTGGAAGCGACGAGTCGCCCAAAATCAAACAAGTTTGATTTCTTGCAACTCGTCGCAAGCGACCAGAATCGCTACAGGTTGCCAGTTGCACGTTCCCGCAGACGTAGCGATTTCACAGCAATTTTTACAGCGATTCTAGAATCGCTGTCAAGTTGCACGAAAAAATAGCAGGTCTGCTCTAGGCTGAAAGGTCGCGATGCAGGCCGCGGTTTCATTGCCTCGAGAAATCAACGCCGTTACGCCTGTCTGTCCCTTAGAAGACTTACTCGGCTCTTTTTGGGGGGTAACAGATAATACGGAAATAGTGTTTCACAAAATACTTTAGTCAGATAGCGACATGTAAATTCGCCAAAAGTTAATTATGTACATGTTGGGATAAGAGTATTATTTGTAATAATGTAATAATGTGTAATCATGTATGACACTATATATCATACTGTAATATACATATATACTACTAACCACGTATATATATATATAATATATATTATCAAATGCTAATAATACCATAGATAATAATATAGATCTTGATATTACTTCATACTCATGTGCTTGGAAAGAATTTTGTCGGTCGAAATATCGGCAGCCGACGAAGGGTTCTAGTGGTTGTCCACGGCGTCGACGGAATTCCTCTGGTCTTGCCGGGTTGGCACGTCGGCCGGCTCACTGACACTGCTGTCGCTTGCGCATGCACGCCGCTGGTAACACGTCCGTAGGCAGTCTGACCGCGAATCGCTAAGCGTTCGCCATGAACCGCGAAAGTCAAGCTTGGCGCAGTGCAAATGAGGTGGGCGAAAATAATGCCGGCAACCGCCGCAGGTCTTAAAGCAGTCGTTATATGCACGGTTATATAAATGTCGATTGTTCAAATGTGAAAAACAGATTTTGTGACTGGTCATCTTCATCCGTTGTCGACCTAATGATGTTTGTGGACTATTTTTAAGGTTCCATGCACTACAAAACATCTAAGTCATAACCATAGGAAGCAGAAGCTGACAACGCCAATCAAACGCTGTGGGATAGTAATGGGTAATATTAGGTCTAACATAGTTTACTGCAAACGTACGTACATGGCCAAGATATACATACAACGGAAATGACACGTGGCAGACAAATTTAGGGTTCCCCTTCACAGAGTGTCGCTTTTCCCTAGCGAAGAAATTAGAGGCATTACAGTAAACACATGCATAAAGGAACCCATGATTTTAAGAACCTCTAGGCTGAAATTGGACTAATAAAGCACCTATTATATAAGAATCTTCAGCCCTGCAAAAATCTAAACAGGTTTCTTATATAAGAATAAAATACGCGAAAATGTTAGAGGCAAACCGTGGGCAACATCCAATCGTACGGTGTGCTACACCATGGAAACTGTGCTACTATTAGTCAAAATCGATTTTTTTAACAGCATATGTGACCTTCCTATTGTGTTTAATATGATAAGCTAAATTAATCAAATGATTTTAAACAGACAATAATTTCTAATATTAAGCCGCTATGGCTGTGAATTTATATTGAGTGTCAATTATTCACTAATTAAAGCGCAATCTTTACCTAGATAATAGACATCAATTCCACCCCCCCCCCCAAAAAAAAAATTAAGCACGCCATCGCTTCGGCTGATTTTCACAAATGTTACTCAACATATTATAAGAACCTTTTCAGAGCCTAAAACAGAAAACTATGGGTTCTTTTATGCAGGTGTTTACTGTATCATTAAATTAGTGGTTACTTCATACTTTCAGGACGTAAATATTGTAACTAGATTAATAAATTCGAAATTTAAAATGTCAGTCATCACACCATGATCGGGCCGCTTTCAAATTTATTCCCCGCTAACCATGGGTCAGTGGATGGTCGCCCAAATGGCTCTCACTTCTCCAGCTATCGTATCCCGGGGCTATCAGAGAAAAGCCAGAGTTTGTGATCATAATATCGCCAGCCTTTAGAAAAGAATTTAATAGCCATTTGGGCCACTATTGCAGTGAGCATTTCCTAAGTAACTAGCCCTGTCCAGAGCACAGATATCATCTGATGCATGATATACATGCTCTGCACCGTCTTAGTAGCTACTGTTAGGTGGTGCCACCTGTTGGCTCGAATCGACACTATTTATTGCGTTTCATGACGACGGGACCGACGTTGTCTCCAGTCTCCTCGTTGTGTGCATTATGGCTTCCATCACAGAGCGGAAACTACAAACACAGATAAGATGCATTGAAGAGAGGTGGATAACGCAAGAATGACAGATAGGGAGGGAAGGAGAGAGGCAGGTGAGGGCAGAGAGGGGGAGACAGAGAGAGAGAGAGAGGGGGGGAAGGAGAGAGAGAGAGATGACAATATATAAGAAATGACTGGTTCACTAAGTAAAAGTAAGGCACCAAACCGAAATAGAAACCGACACACGCACACACACACGCACGTACACACAGACAGACACACATACAAGCACATACACACAGACACACACTCACGCATACAAACACACGCACACACACAGTGACACACTACACACACGCACGAACGCGCGCACACACACAGTGACACACTACACACACGCACGCACGCACGCACGCACGCACGCACGCACGCACGCACGCACAGAGACTAGACACAGCACCACGGTATATATATAGACCTTCTTTGAGCGCCAGCAGCGGCAGTAGCACGTCTTATCCCCAAGCTCCTCCAGGTCAACGACATTGACCACTTTCGGACACTCCTTCTGTATCTTCAAGTTCACCGCTTCATTCTTGTCCTTCTGCGGCTGCTTGGTCGGCTGGGAAGGACCGAGGAGCGCTGTGATGGAGAGGTAGGTGATGTAGGCCACGATCCCTACAAACGGGAGCAGTGCCACCCAGTCGGAGCCTGCAACAACGAAAAGCCAGGGCGCGAAATTAGCAGGCAAATTAATACTATTAATACGACTAATATTAATACTATTAATAATTTTAAGTTTTAGTTTAAGTTTAATTTTTAGTTTTAATAATAAAATTAATACTATTAATACGACCGGCATATGCTGGCAAATTATTTGGAGGGCCGGTAACATTGGCAAAACACCGGCCCTTCGAGCTGATGGTTTCAGCCGTGTTAGCGAGTATTTACATTTTTATTTATAGCAATTACTAATGAGCAAATAGCCTACATTACTGTTTTACCTGAAGGATATCACATCATAATTTATCTACATTTTACAAATTTGAAATCGAAAATGCAAGCGTGAAACATGACATTGACAAAAACACTTTGGACATCATTCACGATCTCCATTATGATTATAACTACTCTACTACTTTAATGCTGGGTCGGATGAGTAAGCTTAGCTTTTTTGGACCCCTCTATATGATATAAAGCATAGCAGTGTCTCAGGTGGTCTTTTGACCCCTCAAGGTGTATAAGAAATGCTGTTACTTGTACATGTTTTTGGTGGTGCGCACATAAGAAGAAAAAAGGACTACACTAACAGGAGGTGTCGAACTTATAGGAGGTCAAAGTCGATATGGCGCACAGGGCAAGATGTTAGACATTTTCTGAGGACATGGTCGGACGGAGCGATTGAGAAACTTTTTTGTTTCAGCGGTGACCTAGCAATTTTATGGCTTTATTGAAAGGACCATAAAATGTACTTTCTGCTGCTGACATGCGAAGAGTAAGTGTCGGATAACCTTTTGACCCTCAAGAGGCAGGTTAAACATGGATTTGTTTACTGTTAGAAAGAATTTGACTGCCGGGTTTGCTAGTAGAATCTATACATGCTGGATGTATGAGGCTACAATGCCACAGTGAAATTTCAAAAGCTAATTTGGTTGAAGAAGGTTTATGCTCCTTAAATCGTATAATTTCTATGGCATTCTGTACTGTCAGTGTGTTACATGTAACGTATGGCCACTGCCAGTGCCAGTGGCCACTGCCAGTGCATGTGGTGGTGTACTGTGTAGTTTTTGCCTGCGTTAATTAGTTTCAGGTGGGCCAGCTCTCTATTTCAGCCTGTAAGGCTTGCGTAGGTAATGAATGAGTGCTTACCTATTCTGTCTTGCAAATAGTTGTTGCTACTACGTACGATGGGACTTCCATCTTTAATCTGAAGACACTTAAACGTACGCGCCATCTCGTGCAACTTTCATAACGATCCACACGAACATTCCTTTTGAGAAAATTCCTGATACCATCCCTGTGCCTTCCACTGTTTTCGGCAGTCGTGTATGTGAACACATTTGCAGCCGGTTCTCCCTACGTTGCGCAAAACGGGGCGCGCCGCCCCGTTTGGGAAAAACTCCCCCCTGTTTCAATCGTTGCGCCCCGTTTAAATTACCTCCGCCCGATTAAATTCCACCACAATAAAAGTTTGACAGAGCGGAACACGATCGTCAAGAATTCCCATTCGACAGGACACCCGACTAGTGTATTTTTACCGTACCAGGCATACACTGCAGCACCACACACAAGTACAAACAGTCAACCTTTACCGAGCCCAACACTAACTGTACACCGACTCGGCTATCTTATATATACAAGAACCCCAAATACTGTCTTATGGTGTGGTGGGCGATTTACGCATTAAATTAATGGTAGCGGTAAAAAAACACGCCCCCCCGGACCCCCTA